GCCAGTGCGCATCCAGGACATCAAGACGGAGAACGGTACGTGTCCCTCGCCGCCCCAGCCCCTGTCCCCGGCTGCCGCCCTAGGCAGCGGCAGCGCCGCCACGGTGCCCAAAATCGAGAGCCCCGACAGCAGCAGCAGCAGCCTGTCGAGCGGGAGCAGCCCCCAGGGCAGCCTGCCGTCGGCGCGGCCGCTCAGCCTGGACACTGCGGAACCCGCGCCGCCTCCACAGTCCGCACCGCCGCCGCATCACAGCCAGGGCTTCAGCGTGGACAACATCATGACTTCGCTGCGGGGGTCGCCCCAGGGCTCGGCCGCGGAGCTCGGTTCAGGCCTCCTGGCCTCGGCGGCCGCGTCCTCGCGTGCGGGCATCGCGCCCCCGCTGGCACTGGGCGCCTACTCGCCCGGCCAGAGTTCCCTCTACAGCTCCCCCTGCAGCCAGAGCTCCAGTGCGGGCAGCTCGGGAGGCGGCAGCGGAGGCGGCGGCGGTGGCAATGCCGGAGGTACTGGGGGCGCGGGCACCTACCACTGCAATCTTCAGGCCATGAGCTTGTACGCGGCGGGAGAGCGCGGCGGCCACTTGCAGGGCCCGCCCGGAGGCGCGGGCAGCGCGGCGGTAGACGACCCCCTGCCTGACTACTCGCTGCCCCCAGTCACCAGCAGCAGCACTTCGTCCCTGAGTCACGGAGGGGGTGGCCAGGAGACCAGCCACCACCCAGCTGCCCACCAAGGCCGGCTCACCTCGTGGTACCTGAACCAGGCAGGTGGAGACCTGGGTCACCTGGCGAGCGCGGCGGCGGCTGCGGCGGCCGCGGGCTATCCTGGGCAGCAGCAGAACTTCCACTCGGTGCGGGAGATGTTCGAGTCACAGCGGATAGGGCTGAACAACTCTCCGGTGAATGGTAATAGTAGTTGTCAGATGGCTTTTCCTGCCAGCCAGTCTCTGTACCGCACGTCGGGGGCTTTCGTCTATGACTGTAGCAAATTCTGACCCCATCCCCGGAACCCTCCGAGCCGAAGGGAATGGAACACCAGAGCAGGAACAGTAAAAAGAACCCAGCAATGCAAAATCGAAACTAAAAACATACAAATTTTAAAACTTGAGAAAATTCTTCACACCAGCGAACAGAATCTCTCCCGAAATTCAACTCACCAGCTCAAAGAAAACCTATTTTTCTAAAAGATTAATGCAGAGCCTCCTCCACTATGCCTTATCTAAGTAAGCAAAACGGTAAACTATTTTGTACAGACAGCAAAACCATGGTTTATTAAAGGACAGGTTACTGCAGATGCCACGTAAGTTTCCTCTTGCGTTCAGAGACTTTTCTGCTCCTTCGTCTTGTCCCTCTGCCTTGTCTCTCACCTGTAAGATAATATTTTATCCTATGTCGAAAGAAGGGGGAAGTCCCTGTTTATGAAAATCGCTTTCTTTTTATTCATGGACTTGTTTTTAAATGTAAATTGCAACATAGTAATTTATTTTTAATTTGTAGTTGGATGTTACGGACCAAACACCAAGAAAGTGTTCCAAAGCTTTTAAAGTTAAATTGCCTGAAACTTTAAAATGTGCCTTTTCTCTCGTTATAAAAAGGGAAACTGTATTAATCTCATTCTATCATCCTTTTCTTTTTGTTGATCATATCCATTGTTTGTTTATGAATAAATTGCCATTCAGTTTGAATAAGACCAATATGTCTGGATACTTTAATACAGCATTAATATAAAGAAAAGATTTCAGAGCAGAAGTTGTAGAGTTCCCTAGCCTCTGCCAGATCTCTGAAATGTGGAGAAAACCTCCTCTAGTTCATGTCAAATTTCGCTAAAAGCATTTTTTTGTTTAGTAGATTTTTTCGACAGCATTTTTTTTCTTTTCTTTTTTTTTTGCAAAACGTACTATATAGTCAGCTTGCTTTGTGGCTATTAAAAAGGTAATTTCCTAAACAGATCTGAGTTGGCATATGAACAAATGCTCCTCAGTAACTACAAAACATGATTTGGCAATTTTAAGTTCATGAATCAGCAGCATGGTTACCACAGTGGTACCTGTGCGCAGAGATGCAGATATGCCTCGAGATACTCAGATGAGTATTGGCTTTTCTGTCCCACACAGATTGCCGTGAGTATTATACATACCTGTGAGCCAGATGCCGAATAGATTTTTTCTATTGATTTCATTCCTTTATAAGAGGAAAATAAACAAGTTTTAAAATGTATGTACATAACTCACCCACAGTTTCAATTCTTCATGTATCATACAGAAGGATTTAATATAAATATATTGTGGGTTGGAAATGAATATTTAATCCTGGGGAAACTTTTAGAAGATATGTTTGTAGAACAATTATTTTTGAACATTTACAGCAATAAGCAGAAGGAAGAGTAAGAAGGCAGAAAGAACATTAGTCTAGGGTGGTTTTCTTTCAAACCAATTTTTCTTAATTTACAGTTAAACCTAGGGGGCAATCTGGACTGGCCCTCCCCCCTTTTGTAAATAACCCAGGAAATGTAATAAATTCATTATCTTAGGGTGATCTGCCCTGTCAATCAGACTTGGGGAGATGGCGGTTTGATTACAGACATTCAGGCCTTCAGTTTGTTTTCGAGATAAAGCAGGTTCCTATCTGCCGCTCCTATCTAGAGGCAACACTTAAGCAGTAATTGCTGTTGCTTGTTGTCAAAATTTGATCATTGTTAAAGGATTGCTGCAAATAAATACACTCTAATTTCAGTCAAAAACTGCCTTACGTGGCCTCTGATTCTCTCGGTTCCCGCCGCACAGAGCGGTAACCTAATAGCCAGGGAAGCTCGCTGTGGCGCTGGCAGGGCGTCTCCTCTGGGCTGGCCCGCTGGGGCTGGCCTCACTGCGACTTTAAGTGTTTTCTGGGTTGTCCTAACTTTGAGTGCCTTGGCTGCCCCCCTCCTCCTCAGGTTACCTCTTTCAGAGGATGGGGTGGGAAGGGGAGAAGGTTGAGTCTATTTACAAATCTCCAGGAGTTGGAATCCAACTCTACTTTGGGGAGTCCTGCGTGGAGCTGGGAATTAGACACCCAAAGTGGTTGCCTGAGCTGGACTGTCTAGGCCTGCGGGAGACCTGAGCAGGTGACCGGTGGCCCTGTCCCCTTCTTGGTCGAGCGACTCAAGGCAGGACCGGAGGAGGCAGGCCGGTTCTCGGGATGTCCGTTTCATCTGTTTGGACTAGGGGTGGCGAGTGGAGACCCGCGGCCGGCCTCTGGCTTTCCGGCTGGGCCCCTCCGGGCGGCCGCGCATTTCGGAGTGGCGTCCAGCCCCGACGCCGGCCTCCGGGACGCCGCTCGGGGCCCGGAAGGCTCCTGAGCTAATGAGCTGTAATTACCCGCTGCGGCGGCCGGCTTCTGTTTGCGTTCGCAGCGGCTTCCTCCTCCCCCGCGCGCCCCCGCCCCGCCGCCGCCGCCCTCGGGTTCCCGCTCGCGTCTCCGCGGCCTCTTCCCGAAATAAGTAGTCTGTGGGGCAAATGGCGTCAAAGGAGACCCCCACCCCCGAGCGTGAGTTGGATGGGTTTATTACAGTGGTCGTGGGAAGGTCGGGGGCTGGAGCGCGGGTGCTGGGGACCGGGGTCGCGGCGGCGGGAGCTGTGCCTCGATGGCCTCGGGGCACCCGCTCCCTTCCTAGCCCCGCGGCTGGAGCTGGCTGCCCGCGCGGCCTCGCCGCTCCTGTTTCCTCGTCGCTCGCCGCCTTTGTTTTGGAGACACACGTGTGTTTAGGAGCCCGGAGCGGGTGGAAAGGTCACAGTCACTTCATTGCTCACGGGTGACAACGGGTCCCGCAGCCTCGGCAGGCGCACGAGTTCTGCCGCATTGACCAGCCACGGCCCGGCCGCACCGACCTGCCCCAGGCGGCCTTGCCCGCACGCGGCGACCTAAGGCGGAGTGTGACAGGGACACGGTTTACTTGAGCCGCAGACCGCTGAGGCCGGAGGAGGGTGCATGGGGTTCAGCACGTTCGGGTCTAATTGCCTGCGACCCTCCGCTTAGGCCTGGCGGCCCTGAGGTCGTCTAGGCCGCAGCTAGCCGGGTCCAGGCCCAGGCGACCAAAGGAAACCTGGCTGTCCCCGAACTCTGTCGCCCTTGCAGTGGCACTGGGGTTCAGAGAGGGAAACAAATGTACGGCTCCTAGAAGTGGCATTCTGTGGGTGCCCCCTGCTCTTCCTTTTCTGGGTCAGGTAGCTGGAGGAGCAGGTTTCTTGTGTGAGCTTGTGGCTCCTGAGAAGCCCCTCGCTGCAGCTTCTCCGATGTTTCCCTATGTCTGGAGGAGAGCTTCCTCTTCTTTTTGGAGGTTTGAAGAATTAGGAATGGAAGATATGTTTGTCTAGAGAGGTGTTTGTATTATACACACATTGTTATTACTGCAAGAGTTGCGGCTGTAGTAGTTCTGAATCGTGTGCTAGTTGTAGAAGAGGGCTACTAGTGAATTTTTTTAAAAAATATGCACGCATAATGTTTTCTACACTTGCTTTCATATCTAATTTAAGAGAAAGAAACTGTTTCTGCCATTCGTTTTTGACTTGGGATGACTTATTCCTTAGTGGCTTGTAAGGTTGGTTTGCAACAGAAAACTTAACAGAAAAACTGCAAGATAGTTAACAGATAGCCAGCGTACTTGGAAATTAGGCTGTATTAGTCAACTGGTGGCACGCAGTACCCAGGTGACAAGTCTGCTCATTTTGTAAATTGTCTCTGTACAAATCGTTAGGGTAGTATTTTGTTCCAAAAGGAAAAGCAGAGGACATTTATTTTCTTAGCAATTCATACGCAAATGCCAGCGTGGCATGTGCCATGTAAAATCTTGCATTTGGCATCCTACATGTGGTAGGAACACGTGCTGTTTTCCAGGACAGCGTAGTTTTCAACAGGCTGCATGCAAACAACCATGCATTTTACAATTTATCACTCCACGCAGTTTGTGTCATTAATAATAGATGCTTGCAGAGTAATAAGGCTCGACTGTGCTGGTCCTCCATGAGCGCTTGGCTGCTTTCTGCCTCTGGAGTGTCTTACAGCCCTTTTGGGCTTCCTTAACTTTGAAAGGAGAAGAATGCTGCACCTTTTATGCCCCCTCCCATCCTGGTCACTGGGATTCTCTGTCTTTAAGGTAGAGGGCCATATGTTTTGGTCAAAGTGGTATAAAACCCCAAGGCCCCAGACTCTGCTGATTCAGGCCACCTGGTCAGGCAGCCCTGGAAGGCCTAGAGGAAACCTTATTTACCGGGCCTTAGGTGGCCAAACCATGTTCTCTGAGGCTGTCAGTGGCATCCAAGAAAGAATAGTTGGAGTAACAGGTTCTCTCTCTCTCTCTCTTTTTTTCCCCCACATCTTGAATTATTGAGAAGAACCTTCGAGTCCCTACTCTAAAGCCCCGACCACGGGACATTGAGTGGTGTTATAGGGCCTTCATTTCTGATTCCTGTCTACTCCTCTTATGGCTGCTTCATGAAGCCATTAGCTTTTCCCACTAGTATATAAACAAATAGCCTGTTAGGGGTAAGATTGATGAGACCTAAGTAATAAAGCTGGCTTTATTACTGATGGAACCAGTCAGAGAGATTGGGGCTTGGGGAGGAAGGGCTGAAGGGCATGCCAGAGGCCTTGTCCCACTGCTTGAGGGCCAGACACAGAGATGAGGGTTCCAGAAGCTCCAGCCCCTCAGCAAGTGAAATCTGATATATTCAGATAGTGGACACTTGGCAGGAATGGAAACCCGCAGAAATTTGCCAGAGGGACCAATTGCCAGCTTCAGAAATCCTACTGCCCTGGATTCTTCTATCCGGACTGATACTATGGCTCAAAGCCTCCCCACCTCCCGACAGTTTTCCATGCTATGTAGGCTCTGAAGCCACAGCTGGAGCTTCTCTGGGCCGAATTCCTCACCCCTTTATTTCAACACCTTCTTTTCTATACACCATTGGATTCTGTGTGTTTATGTCACTGTCCGTTTGTCTCCCTGTCACTTTATCCCATCCTTCCTCTTTCTCCATAGAAAATCTTTGCGTCCCCAAAGGGTCTCTGAGTGCGACGCCTGCACTCCCAACCTGTACCATCTCGGGTGAGCCCATTCATTGCTCACCCTCCACTAAGACTTCTGGGTGGTGGGCTGGATATGACCCTAGTGTCTGGGTGTGGGACAGAGCTGGGGCCAGAGAACAACAGGATGGGCAGGTGCTGCATCCAAATCAGGTTGAGAAAGGAACAATACCCAATTAAATGACTTCCAGCTCCAAAACCCATCCAAGGTTCTCAACGTGATTAGGGGTGGAAAATTGAGCAAAATGTACCATGTCCATCTTATTGGAAACCAAAATAAGACACAGAGAGCGCAACTTCAGACCTTTATTGCCTCCTTTTCCATCTTACCTTGCTTCCAAAGAAACTCTGTTTTATATTAGTTTTTTGTTGTTTACTTGATTTTTTCCTTCACTGGTTTTAAATTTGTAGCATATTGAGCGTATTATAGGCAATGCAGTAGGATCTGGAATTTCCTTCCACATACATGAGGGTTGGAGCTGTCCTTAAGAGGGGAGGTCTGGCTGCTATGACTTGAGATTGGGCCTGGCATTGTTTCCAGCTCAAAATTTCTGGGCCTGGGTTTGAGAGTGACTCAGAAAGTCATTGAGACCTTTCTGCATGCTTTATGGTCTCAGAATAGCCTCTTCCTGTCTTCTCCCAAAGAGCATCTTTTTGTTCTACACTGCCCAGGGCCCTCCATGTCTGCAGATGGTCTGCCTCATTTGAACTAGTCTTTCCAACTTCTTCCAGCTGCCCCTGTAGAGGGCTCCTGAGAAGGGACTGTTGGCAAGCCGCTTGTTCCTTTGCCCTTAAGTGAACAGAGCTTCACCTACTTGAGTGGGCATGGAAGAGCAATTTGTGAGCTCAAGACCAGCAGTGGGTGAATCGTCAAGGTTGGGCATGGAGGCCTGGCGTTTCAGTGTAAAGAAGCATAAAGGAAAGAAGGGTTTTGGTTGTGTGTGTGTGTGTGTGGGGGGGTTCGGTTTGGGAAATGGAAGTGTTCAGAGGGCTTTGGGAAGGATTTAAAGGACAGGAGAGAGACACCCATTTTCTACTCTAGCGTTAATGCAGGAAAAACAGCACATTTAGCGGCTGACTGTAACTCTCAAGCCCTCCGAATTTCCATCATTATCAAAAACAAAACAGAGCCAAACAACAACAAAAAACCCCAAACAAACAAAAACTTAAACCAAACCAAAAAGCAAAAAACAAAACAAAAACAACAACCACCACAAAAAACCGGGTTCTTGTTCCCCTTCTATGCAGGGGTCCCTAATGGCTGCAGGCCTGTAAGCCACCAGGGATATGGTACAGGTTTCAGTGCTGCGATCGCGTTCTTTAAAATTTGCTGGTAGAGGAGCGATGAAAACTGACCTCTGAGTAGGGCAAAATCAGCGCTGCAAGCTGCATATAGGAGCCTCGGCGGCGAGCCTACCCCGGGGAGGCCAGTTTGAGCAGCAGTTCCCAAAGTTGGGCTCAGCCCGCCTAAAGTTCTCAGGCAGCATGTGTTTTGAGCCTGGGAGATTTTTCTGGAGTTCCAGAAGCCACAGGGCGGCAGTGGCGCAGGAGCCAGAGGTGTCCTTGCTGCCTTGTAAAGATGAGTTTATTATGCTACCTCGGAAGGACACTAGTGATGAGAGAGGAGCGAGGCAGCCAGTGCTTCCTCTGAAGTGTCCTGCCTTAGGGAGACACGTCTTGCCAAGTGCAGGATGGGCACTAAATTTTCTGAGAAAACTGGGTGCTACATTGAAAGTTTCCCCCTGCCCCCACACCCCAACTGGGCCCCAAGGAGCTCTCTATGAGGCCTCCTTGACCCACTCAGGCTCAGCATCCAGACAATCTGGGAGGTGCAGGAAAGTGATTTACAGCAAATGTATTTGGTGACAGTGGGAGAATGTGGCATTTCCTGTATTTGTCCGCTGGTTCCAGGGTAGGCCCTACCCGCCCCGAACACGGTCACTACCTCTCGGTCCCTAGTCCCGGTCCTCGACGCCAGGGAAAAGACCTCCACCCCCATTTCTCGGGCAGGGCAATCGTACTCAGCAAGCAGCAGCAGCGCTGCCAGGAGGGATGGGGGCGGGGGATAAAGTGGCACAACAGGAAAGCCAGAAGGCCCTTCCCAGTCAGCTTCCTCGCCATAAAAAGCCAGACTCCAGTCGAGGTCCTGACCCCTTCCAAATATACATTCCCTCGCCCATGGCCCGCCACTGCAGTCCGACTTCGGGCTGCGCTGCTTCCTCTCTGGTCAGCTGGGCCCAGTGTCTCCCTTGGAGTAGTCTGGCTGGTGGAGTCTTAGTTTTCAGTTGACTTCCCAAGCCTCCCAGCTTTTTGCCTCCGACTGGGAGGCTGTAGTTCTCTCTGGTGTCTAGGACAGGGCATATTTTAGCACTCAAGTCTCTTTTCTTTTGAAGGACAGCGCTTTCTTCACTACCTCTCCCCTGTGGATTTAGGACTGTCGAGTTTGAGGGGGGTGAGGGTTGGACAGGTGCATCCCCAGGAACCTTTGCCCAGTGCTGCACCCCACTCCCTCTTCAAGGTCACAGCTAGGAAACCAAGAGACTCAGAACCTCCGTGAGCTGAGGTGATCAGCAGAGGACGGCAGCAGGTCGCTGTTCTTCAACAGCAAACAGATGGGTGCACACAAGCCGAGCAGGCACCTTGGTCCAGGAATTCAGAGGCCAGAGGGGTAGCTGGGACTGTGCACTGGCTGGCAGCATATGACCCCTTGACCCTGGAAAATGGGCATTAGGGGATTAGGCCACAGGGCAAGGAGTCAGCCAGAAGGATCAGGTGGTCTTCTCAGAGAAAATCCTTTGGTGGAGAAGAGGAAAGGTCGTGACTGGAGGTGGGTGGGGTGGGACCTCTGGGAGAGAGTCCACTCTGACTACATTTGGAGGGAGGAACCTGTCAGATGGGGTGGGGAGGGAAGGGCATAGCATCGCCCCGTAAGGGCAGCCAAAGACTTCAGCTCCAGTGGCCACAGTCAGGCACATCTTCTGAATGCTTGCTGCATGTAGCCCAGATGAGTATACGGGAGGTCTAGGGAAGCAGGGGACCTCAAGGCTTAGTCTCCAGGGCTCCCAGAAGACACTGGACTATGGGAAGGCAGGGCTATGGGGGTGGCCTAGCGTCCAGAACTGCAGTGTGTCTCGGATGTTATTGTTACTTGTGAAAGTTTTCAGTGCTCTCTGTGAGGAAAAACTCCAATTTTTGGAGAGGTACGGATGTCATAATGGGACATGTTGATCTCTTGTAAGACAAACGCACAGGAACATACAATCTTTGCGTAAAACCTGGGAAGCTCTCCCCACCCATGGTGTCTGCTGAGTAGTTAAGACAGCAACAAAGATCCTGGAAGACATGAAAGAAGTAAATTTGAATACAACTAAATAGACTGCCCATTTTTAATCCTCAAATATGAAGAAGGTGCCTGAATGCTTTTCTTTTTGTGGTGGGACTTAAAAGTTGTTTTAAAATGATACCGGTAAGGTCTTTTCTTTATTTAGTGGTGTTATATGTATAAATTGACAGCCTATCTGCTAGACAAGTCTTCCACACTGAGATACACCCCTAGTACCCAGGGAACTATTTTAAAATGAAAGTTGACAGGTGCTGCTTCTAGGGAAGATGGCATTCGTGTGTAGCCTGTCCCCAGATGGGCTTCTGTGGGGCTCTGAGATTGGTTCTGGAGAAGGTGATTAACGGGAATGAAAAGAAGCCCAAAGCAGTTCTGCTGGATGCTCCCCCTCGCCTCACACACCTTCCCTTTGTTTCAGTTTCCTTCTCCCATGGAAACACAGCTTGCCAACCTTCCCTTCAGATCGGCAGCCCCAACTCTGCCTGCTCCCTATACAGTTGCTCACAGCTTGAGAGCTAAAGGTAAGGAGCAGCAGATGTCGCAGATGAAGGGCACTAAACCAGGGGTGCCCTCGTACCCAAGCGCTTGACCTCTCTCTGAAGAACAAATGTGGACTTGCCTCTGGCACAACTGAGAGTACTAATAACTCTCTTAGTTTTTACAGCAGTATCAAGCTTGCGGAGGTGTTAAAATGCATAAAAATATATACCCAATGCTTACAGAGTGGGGTGGGAGGAGAGGAGAAGTGTGAGGGACACACAAAAATCACCGAGATCAAGATAAGATAGAAGAAACCCTTTAATTAAGTCTTGAAGATGACTACATGAAATTCAACATAGAAATTTAAATTCTGGACTTAGACAGCAACTGCTATTTTTCTCCCTGTAAGGAGCCCCCAACAGTGATGGAGAGGCACGAATAGTGACAAGGTTGCCATTAGAAAGATGTCTTCTGTCAGAAACCCATGCTCATGCCCATTTAGTGTCACTGGAGACACACCGAACTCCTGCCCAGGATTTCTCCTGGTCCGCCCTAAGGAGTTCATTATGGCTTTGGGATAGAGGGCCACAAAACACTGAATTAGACACTGCAGGCCTGCAGGCCTTTGGAATGGCTTTTCTTGGGTGTTCAATGAGGGACTTAGGTGGTCAGAGGAAGGCTTGTGCATGAAGGTCAAGGCCAAGGAGCATGCGATTAGTTGTGAGACTTGAGAGTGTGTGGGATGGGACAGCAGACTTCTGGGTATGTCTGTAAGATTTGTGTGCGATAGTGTGTAAGATGGCATGTTTGTGAGTGAATTTGTATATATGAGTGGATGTATGTTTTAGGTTGTGGGTGACGATGCATGTTCATGTGTGACAGCACATGTGTGTATGCCCCCCAGCCTTCCCAGTCCTACAAGCTCCACCTCCCAGAGACCATCTGCTTCCAATTACCAGCATCCCATTTGGGGATAGAAACAGCAGGCTCTTCTTGGGGTGGCTTCTGAGAACCGGGTGGGCCAGCCTGGCTGCCCTAGTTCTGCTTCATGGGGGCTGAGGCTGCCCCAGTCAGCATGCTCTCCCAGCATAGAGAGCTCCACAAAGAGCCCTCTCTGCACCAGCCCTGGAGCCCTAGCCCTCCCCCAGATCATAAACCTGCCTGTGAAGACAGTCGGAAATAGTTCACCCTCAGTCTCATGCATGTGCAAAGACTGGAATGCCATTCGCTCAAGTTTTATTTTATTTTGCTTGGAAGGGGAGCGAGGGGGAGAAGAGTCCTGACCTAATTTGTTCTAGGCCAAAATACTATTTCATGTAAGAGTGTATACCTGCAAGCAGATCCTTGCTTGCCTTCTGGGGGTGTTCTGAACACTTTTGTGTCACCTGTAGCTACACAGTGCACAGCTCAGAAATGCAGGCCTGTAGTCAGAATTCTAGCACCTAAATGATAAACTCAGTGAAGCTGGATCCTGGGTTCTAAGTCTCTTTATCCTAACTTCTAGCTCATGTTGATGGGGTTGAAGCACCAGCATAATGTCTGGTATATATCAGGCACTGGATTGAATTAATGAGTCAAAATTCAGTTTAAAAAGTGACCTAGTACCAATGGGAAGAGGTTGGAAATAAATATTGTACAAAAGACCATAGTAATGTTCCAACAATATTTACTTACCATCAAGTTTCTTCTTTTAGCAACCTCATTTCATGAGTCTTTTTTTTTTTTTTTTTTTGAGAGGGTGAGAGCTCAGTGGTTCTAATTAAAATCAGCAGAGATCAGAAGGGGTATGAATGCTTCAGTTCAGCAGGGAATAGGTATGCCCAAGGCAGATAGCTTAGCGAGGCCTCTCCTGAGGGCAGCTCAGGCTAGGGGTCTTCCCAACAGGAGCTTTTCCAAAGGAACCAAGTAATATTTCATCCCTACCGGTGGATTTTTGTTATTGTTTGGGGCCATAACCTGCCTACATTATAACCTGGCAAAAACACACACAAGCAACTCTGTTAGTGCTGGTTCATAGAAAGATCATTTAATAAGAAAAGAGAGAAACAATCTCAAGGCTCCAAAATTTAAGTTGTCTAGTGACATAATTTCAAGTAAAATGAATATGTGATTAACACTTCTTGATTTCCCAAAACCATTCAGAAAGGCCTTCGACAAAAACAAAGAGGCCTTAGCTCTGGAGTGTCCCCTCCTGGTGCCTGCAAATTTATAGCCCAGCTCTTAGCTGTGGGGACAACACAGGAGGTCAAGGGTCGATGGTCGCAGGAGTGGCTGGACTCTGATTTGCTGGCTCCGCATGCCTCCGAATCTTTGCAGAGGTGCTCAGGCATTGGGGTTGGTCCGCATGAGCTCCACGTCGGCCTGCACCATCTCCCTCACCAGCTCCTGCAACCAAAATCCAGGGTGGGTGGTGAGGGCGGGGTTTCTGCCACCCTCTTCTGCAACACCTCCTCCCAGGGCTCAGAAAGATCTGCCTGACTGTAGTCCACTAGCAAGGGTTCACAGCTAACAGCTGTGAGAACTTGCATTGGAGACACAACTTACATCAAAGGCAACGCGGGGCTTCCAGTTCAGTTTCTGCTGCGCCTTGGAGCAGTCTCCCTGCAGAAAGTCCTGCGGAGAGAGGGCAGATGAGAGTGCTTGTGGAGTACCCCTTTCCCAATCTGTCCCATCAGGTAAGATGATTCGATTTAAGCTAGGACCTTACGAGGGAGCCATCTCCGACTCCTGCCCACCCCAATAGCCCTACCTCATCCTAATGACTCTGATGGCTTTTTTTTTTTTTAAAGATATTAAGTTGTCAGGAGGGTGACTGGGAAAACTGTTTCAAAATGCTGCTCTTCTCGGCAGAGGTCGGGGTAAATCAAGCCTGAATGTTCAAGACACAAAGCTCACTGCACGATGGCCGTTCCAGGTCCTCGACCTGGAGGACTCGGACCCATCTGCTGGGTCTGGTCCCTAGAATCCACACTCCTCCAGGTCCGGTCTTAGGTCTGCAGCCTTTGCCCTGTCCCTGCCTCCTGCACCTTGTCCTGGATTTGGAGTCAGCGGAAACCCCCGCCTCTGGTCTGGCTTTTGGGACAGCCTAGGCGGGCAGGCACACAGCAGGCTAGGGAGCACGAGCTCTGGCTTTGCTAAGGTGAAGACAGTTCTCTGCCAGCCAGCAGCGCACCCACAAGCTCCAAAACCAAAACTTTCATTTCCTGGCTACTGCAGAGGGTCTGTTATAATCTCTTTCTTCCTTAGAAAATAGGGATTTTCTTTCTTGACTCATGGGACAAACACGAAAACCTCAGTTTCAGACCCTGTGTATCTGAGACCTCTGGTCAGCCCAGGCTCTTTGTCTAGCTCCACTCACCTCCAGATGCTCCTTCAAGGCTGCTTTTAGAGGAGACTGCTGACCACTGTCTCAGCCCAGGACTGGACCTTCCCAACATATACAGCTGAGGTCAAGCCTCCCGGTCTGCTTGCTCAGTTCTGACTTTATGAGGAGGGGAACACAAACGTACTGGAGCTTTCTGAATATCTAGCAAGAGCAGTTCACTTTCTTTCATTTAAGATACTCCCTCGGAAGGAAGACTGGCAACTAACAGGAAACCGTAAAGAAGAAAATCCTGTGTCTTCACCCTCACACAGTTCTTTATTGTAGGTCTCAAGACTAATGGGCATTTCAAGATGGGTTTAAAGGGAAGAAATGAAGGAAAGGAGAGGAAAGGGGAAAACCAGAAAAAAGCCAGTTAGGTATATATTCATATGAGTGCATCTACTGCTGCATATGCGGAGATGCAAAATAAGCAGGGACTGGGAAAGCAGGAGAGAAAAGGGAGATCTTTATAATGACAGGTATGTTATTAGGAGACTGAATTTTAGCTGTGCACTGTTAGACAAGTGGACCAGCTGCTCTGAGTGACAGCCACAGATAACTAAGCTGCAGTAAAAGGTCTCCCCTGCACTTGGCAGCCAACGGCACTTGGTTCAGGATTTCAGAAGGGTAGGCCAGAGTGTTAGGTACCAGCTATTTGTGCTTCCCACAGGGTGCTCACCTGGGCATTCCCGGCAAGGTGGTCTGGATTCCAGTTCCCTTTTCCCTGCCCGAGTCTTTACTCTAGCAGAGGACATTCAGGGACTCTCGTTCTCAATCATTCATCATTGCTTTTTAGGCTTGAATAAATCAAATTCCCAAAGGCTTTGCATTTCACAATACGCTGAAGTACCCACTTCCTCCCCAGAGTGTTAACCAAAGTGAAGCAAGTTATTTCTGCTGGCCTAAAAGCCCATTTCCAGACTCCCCAGGAAAGGTAGGATACAAGAATTAGTAATTAGCATTTTTAGCACAGTGCTACCTGGAGCTGCCAATGAAAGTGGAAAAACAAACCAGGTAATTTATTTCTCTTTACTCTCCCTAAATAAACTTGTATATACTTTTTACAATGCTTCTCTTTTAGTGTAAAAGCCACACAAGGATATTCCTTCTTTTTCCCCAGAGGAAGCTGTGTAGTTTGGAGTCATGAAGCAATGTCCACCCGCCCCTCTCTGTCCTCAGCTTCAGGAGAACATGGTTACTGTTGACTCACAGACCGCCGGCAGTAAATCAACCAGCACAGCATGGATGCAATTCATGGCTATGAACATACAGTTAAAAAAAGCCCTAAAACTCAGTTTGGTTTCAAATGATCTCAGTAGGCTTGGGAAAGGGAGCTTTATATTGTAATTATGTTTCCTGTATTTTTCTACAAGTAGCTCATAATATAAAAACAACCAGGCAACTACAATTAAGAAAAAAAGAAAAATGGTTTTCAAAAACTTAGCAACAGACACTACTAAATACACTGTAAAAGTATTTCATTGAAACCAGAGACAAGCCCAGCTAAGCTTCCCAATCTAGTTTTCAGCCCTCTCTTAGACTGCAGCCTAGGAGCTTCCTTAGCCTTCTGCCAACACTCTGTCTCCCTGAAAGCTAATTAGATCAAGAGGCCTTAGGAAGGGAGCGCATGCGGTCCTATCAGAACAAAACAGTGGCTCTTCTTGCCAGGTGCCACTAACATGGGCTAGTCAAAATGTTTTTATCTCCTCAGCTTTTCTTCCCGTTGGGCAAGTGCTTTACCACTGAGCTCTCCTCCCCACCAACGTGGTGTGCTCTGTACTTCACTGTCCTAATGGGAACATATTACTAAACTGAGGGTGGTGGTGTGTGCCCTTCATCCCAGCATGCAGAGGCAGGCGAATCTCTGATCTACAGTTCCAGGCCAGCCAGAGCTACACCGAGAAACCCTGTGTCAAATTATTTTCTACCATGGGATCTGGCCAATGGTTTGTTTCATTTACAAGCTCCCTGGCTCAGGCACACTTCAGGGGTGGCATGACAAGGCCTGCGTGTGAAGGCACACAGTGCTGGACAGGAGGGCAGACAGGAAATGCTCCTTTAAACATCATTTCCTCTGACCTGCAGAGAAGTCGGGTTGGGAGGTGGACTCCTGCAGGGCAGCCCAGAGTTGCTGTGCTCAAACGCACGGATGTGGGGAGAAAGAAATGGCATGATCTGTACTCCTTTTATATTTAAGTCTTTTAAGACATTTGAACTTCCACAAAAATCCTCCAATAGGGCAAGTAGTTCCTAACGACAAATGAAAAGAATGAGTTTATGTACACTGCTCTCCATTTTGAATTATTTGGTTCTCCACAGAGCATACACTACCATATGACACAGAGGCAAAACTGGAATTAAGTGATGATTTTATGTAGAGTTTCTACAGAATTTCTACAAAGAACTTCATGAAATGGGTGGTCTGGAGTTTTTCTGGAAAAAAAAAAAACAGGCAACAAAGCTCTAAGAAAATTTAAAGCATTTTAATGTAAATATGGCATTTCCTAAATCTGGCTTCTGGTGTCTTGCCATTTTCACTGCTATTCCTGAGGTGAACTATACAGTTTCAATATGTAATTTATTATTGTCAAATTCAATTAGGCTTAACTAAGCATTTTACAGCAGCTAAACAGCACAAGGAACAGAGAAAGGCTGCAGACAAGCTCTCTCCACAGACCCCAGCTCCGTTGCCCCTAGGAGTTGTCCTGCAGCAGGAGCACCCAGACATGGTGGCTTTTACGGTAATGGAGATGCAAGCGTAGCCTGAGAAGAGAGCATGTTTTGTTGCAACTAAATCTCAGGCTTTCCTGGCCATTGGTCTTGTTACAGTGGATAGATAAAGCGCCAGACCAAGTCCTGGGGAAGTCATTAGGCCAGTTCCTGAGCCCACAGCAGTTAACGCAGTCCAGAGAAGGAGGGCTCACCCTGCCATTATTGTCTCCTCTAATTAGAGGCCACTCTTGTGAGATCTCTGGGCTCCCTGTGCACGGCTGTCAAGATAACAAGACACCTTTCCGCCACACAGGTTCCTTTTCTCCCCTGATGGGATTTTGATTGTTCTTACACAAATTAAGTTCCATCAGTACACTAAACTGGATCATTCAGGATAACTCCAAGCTCACACCCTCATTTCTTTTTCTCCCCTTTCTCTAAGTTTGATTCGGGGAAATTATAACATTTAGATTGAATTACAAGTTGGATTGGGTTTCCTTGGCAGGTTTGTGGTAAGGTTTGTAGGAACATCTGGTGGGGCAGAGAGACTTTAAGAACATAAGAGCTCTTGGCAGGATGTTGTTAAATTTCTATGTGCATACTGAAAGAAATTGATTTTTGAGAGCCATAGACAAGAAGGTGCATAGACAGGGATATGACTAAGGAAAACCTAGCCCGATGGAAACCTTGGCTAAACATCTTCAGGAATTTAAGACATGGAGCTGTGAGTGGCACAAAAATACTCACTTTTCCCTCCTGCTTTTCTAAGAAAAGTGAAATTGAAGACTAGCTTAGGTTCCAAGGGAATAGAAGAATGCCAATGAGTGAAGTCCTTGATCTGACTTTATGCTAATGGAGTGAGGAGGCAAGCTTCCCTCCCAGGGTAAAGCTTCTCCTGGGAAACACAGAACTGCTAAGAACAAAAAAAACCAACACAACTTGAGGGAAGCCTTTGAAGTTGCACTGCATATCCCAACCAAGATTCTAGACAGGCAGGGAGGGGCATATGGAGGAAAAGGGAGAGAGTAGCCTGAAGAGTCCCCCAAATGCACTCCCTCCCCACCAGCCTCCAGCCTGCAGTGCTCTCTGATGACCTGACCTGTGTAGTTTTAACTCTCATATGCTGGAATTTACTCCTGGCTTAATCCTACCCAAGGAGAGAGCTAACCTCAGAGCAGTACAGTGAGGAGGTGGCTGGGCATTTCCCTCTCCTCCCGTGGACTGCTTTAGAATAGCAAAGATTGAAGTCAATGCCAGGCCTCTCCTTTAATGACAAGGGGCGATAAGAGACAAGGAGAAAACAGCAGGTTGTCTCGTCTGTTCAGGAAGTGGGCTCAGGGGACTCTTCATCCAGCAGGGCTGACAGAGTGCCCCAGAGCTAAACTGATACAGCTTCACTAAGCGCCATTCCAGAGTGTAGCACAGCATGGGACATAGAAGAGCATCAGGCCCGCAAAAGCTGTTCCTAGTCTCCGCACAAAGGACACTCCAGGCCTATTGGCAATGGGCAGTGCCACATGGCCTTAGACTAAAAAAC